TATACTTGTGTATATATCGTTTTGCCAGATCTTTCTCTTTCAACTCCATTATGAGAGAAGGAAACACAGAGACAAATAAATATAGCCACTTAAAAAAACTTTTGTTCGTTCCGGTAGTTTCAGAGATCTGTGGATTATTTGGACTCCAAGCCCTAAAATTATTCAAAACAATAGAGCAAAGATTACGTTTAATCACAGGTAAAAGAGGGCTTTTATTGGTGACAAAGAACATCGATCGAAATTTGCCGAAACTGTATATCATGGGATATTAAGCCCCACCCACCTAACCCAAATATTTATTAAAGATTCTCTTTAAATATATTTTTTTTTATAGATATGGTATGTTAATATTTGCAATTGTAAAAAAACGAATAGATATAACCATCAGGGAAACTAGGGATTTTTTATTCAAAATTAAGAGTATAGCCGCTGATGGCGATAACCTTTAAATAATTTACTATGATACTCCTTTTATTTTTTAAAAAATAAATTCGAATATTAAAAGTTCATGAATGATAAAGTGACCTTACAATTTCTTTTTTAATGCACTAAATATCAATCCGCTATTTCGAAATGAATACATCAGTTAAAATAAATCACTCTATCAAATAAAATGTACATTTTAAAAAAATGTAAACTACAACATATTTATAATAAAAAATATATTATATTGTAATCTTTTTTAATATTGAATTTGAAAATAAAATGATGTTCGTTCCTTTCATAAAGATATTCAAACAATTTTACAATATGCGTTGGATAGGGAAAACCTTTGCTTCCGGGGCGATGTGATGCGAGTTCAAAGCTGGTTGATGCAAAAATAAATATCAAAAGTAAAATTTCACCCGAAAGCCGATATTCGACTCAATCCGAGAGCGAACTCGATTTGATTCTGGGTCGACCGGCCGCATACATCAAAAATTTAACATATGATTATATAGTCTTTATCAATTTTATAACATTAAGATTTTTAATCAACCGGATTGGCTTGATAAAATAAACCGATTTTTGTCAGATAATTTTAACATTATATGATTCGTTATGTAAAAAGTACATAATCTGCAGAAAAAGCCTAAATAGACGATAATTTTTACAAATGGAGAGCATTTTTTTTTTAAAATATAATTTCTCTAAATTATATTATATTTTTATTGTTACCATTTATTATTTTATTCCAAAACAGGGGCGGGACTGGCCATAAGACCAGGTGAGCATTTTGCCCACGAGGCCCAGAGAAAATGTCGATTTTTGAGGCCTATCAGAGGAAAATATCAAAAACGAAGTCGATTAGAAAAAAAAAAATTATTATGTCCACATTATTTTTTCTTACCATTTATTTATTTTTAATGATATCTCTATTATTTGAATATCACATTCCTTAAGAATTGTCACGTCGTTTGACGCTATACATCATTACCACGTGATTTTCCTTGTTTTTTTTTAAATAAAGTGAAAACATTTCCTTTTGAGCTTTAGTAGGGTGAAAGCTAAGTTTTGATTAATTTATTATATTATATTTTTATACATTGATTTATTGTAGAAATAATATAGCAAACTTTTGTGATTGTATTTCTTGCTCTTAATTTATTGAAAATAAATAAAACCCAGGTTTAATAATTTTAATAAAATAAATTTTTGATCAATTTGATTTTCTAATGTTTCTTTTAATATTAATTGATTGTTAATTTGTGTTATTTTATTATTACTAACTAAGCTCAACTCAACGAACACAGATTGTTATAATCTCACCTAATATTTGGATTACAACGATTTACTTATCATTTCCAAACAAACCTAATAAAATAATCAACTTTATATAGCTATTTTTACACTTATTTATATTCTCATTGAATTGAGATGTAAAAAAGTCAAAAGTAAACAACTTATTTATATTTCATAACCCATAGATAGTAAATTTTTTTAATTATTACTGGCTGGTTCATCATATTTTTAAATATAAGTAATTTTATATAAATATGAATTTTATTTGAATTTCCAGTTCACATCTTGAGATATTATTTTTAACCTTAAGTTATAAATTAATATTAATAAATCTTTTTTGTAACATCATATGAGATAAAATAACATGATTACTTTAAGCCTTATATCAAAATACAATTCTTTAAAAAAATTATATTAAATTTTTATTTCATACTAATATATTATTTTTAGTTAAATTGATATATTTTTAAATATTATACATAGAGGTGCCAAAAAGAAATTTATAGGTGGAGCTGAAAAATTAAGAGAAAAAAATGTTGCTGGTTTCAAAGCAGCTGGTGCTGATCCAACTTAAATTATCTTTCTTTGATAAATCAATTTCTAATACTATTACTTCATGTAAAAAATCTATTTTTTTATGAATATCAGCAACTACCTCCCATCATATCTACCTGAAACAACTACATTATCTGCAATATCTTCTTTTATTATTGCATCAGTTCATACATTGCCACACCCACCTAAGATTATATTACCTACCATTACTGCAGATAAATTATTCACACACCCTGAAAATACATTATCTACAATTAGAGCAATTCCATCTTTATTATCCTCACACTTGTCAGAAGCAATTACATCAATAATGCCTTTGCATATTTCACAAAGTGGATTATCAGAATTGGATATGCATAAACATGAAAATTTTAAGTTGCAATTGACAGTTACTATACCTCAAAAACTTGCATTCTTAATGCAACATCCTATACAACTAATAGTAAATATGATAAATATATTCTCGAATAGTGATGAGTGAAAAAATACCTAGAAAATGGATTACAATAGAACTAATATGCAATAAAGCCAAAGCTGTGTACTGCTCAATCTGCCTGGCATTTGCAGTATGCGAAAATACTTTCACAACAGGCTCAACAAATTTTTGTCATATGCATTCAGTAATTAAAATAGATGAAATTCAATAGTACAAATTAATGCTGTCGAGGCCTACCTCAGAGCATCAAAAAACCAGTCATTTGATAATTCAATTAGTGTTAAAATATTAAATGAAAAAAATCGATAAATTTATAACAATTGTCCACATAATGATAATGAAACAAATATTTTATATAATAAAGTTTTTAGGCAAATAAACTTACCCTATAGAGAATCAAGACTGAAACACATAGCCACTTTGAAAATGAAAATTTGAATCATGGGAATTTCCTGTAAATGATTCGTATTATATCAAAAAATGATCAAACTCAGAGATCATTTAAAGAAGGCTATTTTAAAAAGCAAACGTAGTAAAGGAAAGCTTAAACTCTCTGACAAATTAAAATCGAAGGGAAGAGGTTTTTTCATAACCTTGTTGTCGAAAACAACTGTTAACAAAGTTATTCATGTTGTTCTTGATCAAATCGGAATTTAATAAAAAAAGGAGATTGGTAACAAACGGTTTAGTTTATAAATGGATAGTACTCAAGACATTAGCGTTTATGATCAAGCAACCATTTGCCTACGATACATATATAATGATAAAATAACAGAAAGGCTTTTTGCACTTACAAAAGTTACATACTCTTCTGGAAAAGGATTTTTTGATATCTTGAGTGAATTCTTTTTAAAACATAATAATAAATAAATTGGAAAATCATTTGATGGTGAATTTATTGGGTTGCAAGCTCTTATTAGACAAGAGACTCCAAGTAGTTTGTATATTTGGTGTTATAGTCACATATTAAATCTTTGTATATGTGATTCATGCAATATTGAAGGCAAAAATTTATTTGGATTATTAAACAGACGCAACTTTCTTCGGTGAATCATATAATAGGATGAATGCTTAGGTGAAACAGAATAACTCATAAAATAAGTTGAGAAGGCTGCAAAAAATAGATGAGACAAGGTGGTAGGCACGTGAAAAAGCCCTTAGATGGCTATATGGCAAAGAGAGCTTGCTCCCAATAACGATAAGTGTACTTCAATTTATAATAGATAATAAATCATTTGAGGCAAAAACCTCATCAGAAACGCAACTTTGATCGATAATTTATGCAAATTTAAGACTCTAAGTACTGCTATAATATATTTGGAAATTTTTGAAATAATGGGGCCATTGTTAATATCTTCAAACTAAGAATTTAGATATTTTGTCACCATGGAAAATGATAGAAGATGCTAAGTCTTCTGTATCATCGATAACTATTACATCGATAAAATAAAGCAATAAAAATGGCTTTTAATTTAAATGAAACACTTTCATATTTAAAGCTCCCAGAGAGTATCTGGGTACAGACTGCTCTGTCAAAAAATCGAATAGGACGAGCGAAGAGAATATATAGTGTCGAAGGCCAAGATGAACGTCCTCATATATCGATTGACCTTTATAGGGTCGAAGTATTTCGTCCTATAATTGATCAAATTATAAACAGCTTGTCGGAACGGTTTTCTGCGAATAAAGAGCTTATTTTATGTGCAATATTTGCATCCAAGGCATTTTGATGAAATAAATAGTAAAGGTATTTCTTCTGAAAAGGCCTTGAAAAAAATGGCACAATTGGGAAATATATCGAGTGTTAAATTACGTAATGAATTGTGTTCATTTGCCAGGGTATTCAAAATTTAGTGGCAGAATTAAATGAAATAGACGATGATATCGTATGTACAAGTGAGGAGTCATATGAAGTGGAATATTACAAAATGATAATAATTCATAGTGTGATAATAGATGTAACAAGTGTTTAATATGCGTGTATGAAATTCTTAAAAGATACAATATGCATATAAATGCATACGCTAATTTATTTTTGGCATATGAATACATTTTAACTTTATCATTTACGCTGGTTGATTGCGAGAGAACATTATATATTAATTCTTTTATTTAAATCTTATTTATATCTATAATATGATCGGTGTCTGATTTTATAAGTGCAGCAATTTTATTCTCTGTGCAATATTGTATTATTGGAATAATTTTATATGTGCGATTGATTTTATTTATTAAGTATGTATTATTCTATATTTAACATGTGATGTATGATTTGATTTTATAGTGCAATATCGTTGTAAATCTAATATAAAATATATATGTGCGATGAATATGATTTTAGATGTGCAATGTTTTAAAATAAAATATATGATTATCGTTTCATTATTCTTTTTTTAAAAAAAATGTAAATCGTTTGCCTATTTTCAAAAATAAGAAGTAATAAAATTCGAAGAAGCCATTTAAAAGAACCCGGCCAAAGGCAGGCAAAAGCGGGCAGAAGACCCGCCAAATAAAAAATATGGGGGCTAAGCCCCTATAAAAGTGAGGCCGCTATAAAAAATGCCCACGAGGCCGTAGCGTCGCCAGTCTGCTCCTGTTCCAAAACGCATGTTTTTAAAAACTATTTGCCGAAAATGTATTCTACCTTGTGAAGTACCTAACCCTATGAATTTCCGACAATTTTGAATTAATTTTAATTAATAATAAAGGGTTAAATTAATATTGATTCACAATTTCATAGCAAAATTTCGGAGTTTATTATTAAATATAATTTTTTCAAGTTTGAAATAAATACTATAATTAAAATCTCGAAAATTATATATTAATATGAAAATAATTATACATTCTACCAATAATATGCACAATATAAATAGAACTAAATTTCAAAATAGGAATTTGATGCGAGATTTACCATTTACTATATGTTATATTGTTTGTTAATGATAAAAGCTTCAAAAATCAGTTGTTCCTTCATCCATAATTTGTCTAGGACTTATTTTGTTATAAAAGTATGCGTCTCTCCCAACATTTATAGCTTTATCAAATTTTTTTTTAAGAATAGGTATATTTTAATATAAAACAGTTATTATCTAATTTAAAAAAGTTTTGGTTATTGATATAAAGTCCCCTTGATTCAAAAAATAAATTTTTTGGGTGTGGAAGGGGAGAGGGTGCCATTATCATTAGTATACAATATAATCTGGAGTTTATTAATGAGTCCTCCTATCTTTACTAAACTCATATATAGAAATTAAGTTAATAAAATATTACCGTTTAGGCCCATAAATAACTTAAAATGAACCTACTCTCTCCCCAAATATAATTTAAGATTAATGATGTTTATTGTGCAGGCAATTTTTCCTACATTTATAATCTTCTTAAATTTTCTCTAACTGACTTAAAACATGTGATAATAATATTCAGTATAATTATTTTTTAAAAAATACCCTGATGTGGCTCACGATTTCTTTGATCTTCATGATAATGATTATTTCCTGGATTAACTAAATAAATAAAAAACTCAAATTATTAATGATTGATTAATTTATCCTAAACTATCACTGGTAACCAGATTTTCACATAGATGGTAACTAGGTGGAAGGAAAACTATTTTTTAAAATTTATATTACAATAATAAAATGTTTATCTTATTTATTATTTTCATGAAAATCAGGCCCCAAATGTGCATTCCATAGTTTTCTTTATACCAGATGATATTTATGATACCCTTGTTAAGAAATTATAATCACTCTTATTTATAATGTTATAAAGGTTTACAAAGTATTTAAATTAAATAAATTACCATATTTTTAAAATTAAATAATAATAATGAATTATTCAATTACTATCAGATGATATTTTAGTGATGTGCCATAACATGTCGCCGTTCTTGTCTGGTATAAGACTAGCTATTAATTCGTGCGATTTTGCCCTTTTCAATACATCGGTCCCAGAATCATTTTTAATAACTGAATTAGACAACGAAAAACATTTATTTATTAAAAAATAGGAATTTATAATTTAATAGTTTATTATATAAGTTTTAAAAATAATGAAAAAAAAGTAACTTGCATAAGACCTTTAAAAAGAGGGACTATAATTCTAATAAAATCAGAGGAAAACCACCCAAAAATTTCCCTTAAGGAAATCCTGCTACCCCTATAAATAATAAATATTATAATATAATATACCTTTAGTTGGAATGACATTGCAGGAGCTTGTACCTATTTCCTTGATAATTTGAATAGGTATATCACGTTCACAAGATTTAGGACTTAAATGACCTTCATATGGCTCAGAGTCTATTTATTAGTTAGTGTTAATGGTAAAAATATATACAATTTTAATATTAAAAAATACCCATTAAATCCCAATATTTCCGAAATATATATTTTTTATTTATTCATATTAAGCATGTCATCTGAACAATAAAATATCAAATCAAAAACAAAAAAAAAACACTGATAAAAAGCAATAAATATTTTATCCCGAAAAATATTACTCAAGCTTGAAGATTTTGATCATAGATGGCACAAAGGTTTGTACTTCTATTAGCGAAATCTCGAGTGGCTCAAATAATTAGTCATTTTTTTATTAAAGAAATTTTCTATAGTTAATGACGTTTTTGATGTATTGTGGCTATCGTATCTTTGTTTGGTAAAAGATTATTCAATATTATCATTGGCCTATCTAGTTGCCCCTTTGGATCCTGCTAAATTTATATAAGGCCAATTCAACTTAAAACTAAGGTGAATCATGCCAGCTAACATGTTATCAAAATCGTAAAAAAAATTAATTTATATAATATGAGGGCATTTATTATAAGAAAAGAATACTCTTTCATCAAAAGATAAGAAATCATTTGTTTTTTAAGTAAAAAAAAATTTATTACAGTATATCACCTTCATCTTAGTTTTAAAAATATAATATAAACCTCATAAAATTATTCAATCAGGATTGCAAGATCTCCCGCCTTTGGAGTAATTTCCCTATTTTTTACATTAGTTTATTCCAAAACACGCCGTCTATTGATTTATGCTTTTCCCCGATTTTTCAAAAAAAATTCTCCCGTTTTTTTATAAATCGATCTCCAAAACTTATCAATTTAAAATAAGGTAATAATATTAAATCTTTTTATTTTAAAATAAACTATTATGATAAGTCATATAATAATTACTTCCTCTGAAACTGATAATGAAAATGATTCTATGTAAATGTGCAATAAGTATTTTAAAATTTTTTAAAATCAATCTATATAAATAATATTTTAGAAGTAAACAATTATTATTTAAAATTTTAACAGTTTTATATGCCCTAATAATTTTTGATTTAAAGTTTTCACCTGATATTCCATTTTTTGCCAATTTTATTCCATTAATTTAAATTATATAAAAATTTCAATAAACAAGTTTAACATCCAAAATAGTTTTTAAATCACATCTAAAACCTCGAATTCCATTTATTTTAATATGCAATACAAAATTTAATATCCGCCATGAAAGAGTCCATGTTGTAAAAAAACATTCAACAAGGCAAAATATATATTCAATTTAAAAAATAAGGATACATCAAATAATATCCAACAGTATACTTAAAAACAATCAATTATGTGATGATAATACTGCAATAGTAGAAACGGATCACACGATAAAACATTCACTTAAACTTATTGCCTATCATCTTTCCTTTTTCAAAAATAGCCCATAGCATAAAAGGTATAAGAATAAAAGTCTCAAAAATGGTGTTAAATATGATAGGTCCTGAAACTAAGAAACAAACCATTCGGAGAAATTGAAGGATATTACGTCTATACTTGTGCTGAGCCATGAAAATTGCAACCTTTTACTATCAAATACAAATGTCTTTTTAAGCTGTAAGTGTGAATTTCGGAAAAGGCAAAGTGTAATGACGGAATTATTCGTTTTGAATGAAAATATCATCCCTGTCTTTGCCATACAATTCACAATACAGAAAAAAATAGACATGCTTCATTATCAATAGACATAGAAATAATTGTTATGAAATGTAATGCCGAATTCAGCAGTTTCACAAACAGGGTATATGTTTTAAAAATTTTTATAGATTCTCGATATTGATATTGAATGGTCAGAATTTCTATGAATTGTTCCAACTATGCCTATCATTAATACCGGCTCAAATAATTTAATAAATAATTATTTAGCTGTTAAATCTTATTTTTTATCTCAAAAAAAATCCCAATATTAAAATTATTTTTTTCAAATGTAATGGCCGAGGTTTATTTAAGCCTAGTTATTAATAACGTTGTAAAAAAATTGCAATCAGAAAATTCAATTGCAGTGACATTAGTAGTGAATAAATTAGTTACAACTTTAAAAACCCAAGTTATCAATATCTTTATGACTTTGTCGAAAGACAAAATTTTATAAAGATCAATCGCATCATTTCAAAATGAAGTTAATAAATTCGTTAAAATAATCATTTCGTATTTAGAAAAAAAATATGAATTTAGGGAATCTAAGTATTAAGAGGTTCGATAATGAATTTAAATTCGAGGAAGTTGAATTAATAATAATCAATTTTAATATAAAAGATGTCAATTCGATGAATTATTCCAGGAATTCGTTGCTATAAATATATTTATAGAACAAAATAATAATATATTGAATTTGGTTCGTGAAAACAAATGTGTACATTTTTTCAAAGAATATTGCAAATTTTGTTATAATATGCAATATTATGATCTCGTAACCACATTCAAACGCTGGTTCAGAGCGCATATTTAGTTTAATGATAAATTTCTAGCTGAAAGACTTATCTTTATCAGCTTTAGAAGCGGAATTAATGATCAAACATTATTTTAATAATACTTGTAAAGAATTTAAGATTTATATAATAAAAAATAAAAATTTAATTATTAACATAAAATCTCTGAAAAATATAAATAAAAATATTTACTTAAAAAAAATATATACTATCCTTCCTTTATTTTACTGAAAGAAATATTCACCAGGATTATTTGTTATAAAATTTTTTCTTTTGAATTATAGTTAATTCTCCCGCTTTTTGTTTGAATGAATCTGGCAATCCTGCTTATTTTAAGCCAGAAGTTCATATTTTTTTAAAAAATTGATTTACAAATTCTTAAATAGACAATAAGTAATATTTCTTTTTATTTTTAAAATTTTGTCGCGGAATTAACTTTATTATAAAGAATTAGAATACAAAAAAATAAATTTCCACTATTGATATTGAAAGGTATTTTTTGGTATTTGGAGAGTGGGAAAAATTTAATAATATATATATTTTTTTCTGCTAAACTATTTCCATTTCCATATGTCATGACCAAATGTCATCACCCTTACCCTCTTCATCCGCATTATTACTTATATAGTCTAGTGGCAAAAGGATAATATTCTCATCTGGACTAACGATTAGGTAATTGGTCTAAGACACTTTTTAAATGAGAAAATCTCAACATATAATTTGAAAAAATAATCCCAATGTTTATTTTTGGAACAAATGAAATATTTTACCTTATAATTTTCGAACATGCTGAATGATGATATCCGCAATAAGCATATATTGGATTTTTTTGTTTTAATTGGATGCATTAAAATTTTTATTTAAAAATGATCAATATTTTTAATTTTTACAAAAAAAATCTATTAGAAATCTAATAAAAAAAATTTTTACCATCATTTTATAAAAGTGATTTCTAAAGCTATACTCACTAAAAATGAAAACATTCCTCATCCTTAAAAGTGTATTATTGGAACATTGGGATTTAATGGGTACACGTTATTTTATGTCTGCGTATAATAAATGTTATTGTTAAACAAAAATTTACTTGACTTTGTAGAATTAGAATCCCTGAAAGGACGGAGTTTCGTAATTCGCATTGGCATATGATGATTTTATTTTTATATAATTTTTCGTTATTGTTAAAAAATGAATATAAAATATATTTATTTTAAACAATTATTACTTTCTTTTTAAAGTAAATATAATTGTGTTAATTAAAAATATTGAGTTATTTATGAATGCTGAAGTTTTTGATTTATTTTTAGAGATATGTTATGGCACGAGTTTTACCAAAAGACTAAAGATCCAGGCTGTCAATTTAAAATCGAAAGCTCTAAAATATTTATGATAAATGGTTAAAATCGAAGGCTTAATTGCTCTATAAATTGGAAAGCTCAATGATAAGCAGAATGGGTTATATAATTTGAGTAAAAACTGGCCCGTATCGGCTGGGCAAAGGGGCTGCTTCTCATAAGTTCGATAACTCAAAAATATAAAAAAATTAGTTCAACAAGCGATTTTTTTTTCAATTATTTATTTTTCTATTTTTAAAATTTTCTATCTGAATAAGGACCTGTCAAAAACGCCTGGGAACCCTCTATAGCCGAATGCTTAAGACTAACTGACATAAAATGGAATCTGATTGTAAATAAACATTTGTATAATATTTACTTATTATAAAATGATGATCGATTATTATTCTCTTTATTTTTAGTGTCGTCGTATTTATTATCGAATTTTTCAATGAAAAATGGTTTAACTGTGTATGTTACATTTATGGGAACGTTATAATAATCATATTTGTTTGAATCTTCCTCTCTATCCTTTTTAAAAGTTAAAGGATAGTCTGGGTTGTAAGCCGATTTAATGTTGAGTACATTTGTATTTGTATCATTGGGTGTATAATAAATTTCTTTATTTAATTGTTTGCTATTGTCATCTATAGAGTATTTATCATAATGTAAAAAATTTAATGATGTTCCTGGATTATTTAAAGGTTTTTCGTTGAAGTAATTGTATGTTATATCTTTATCTGCATGCGCTTTATAGGGTTGAGCGCATATATTCATATTGTTAGGGTAGATGGAAGGCTTATTATTCATTAGAGTATGTGTTCTTGTATTTAAATTATGGTTTTCTTGAACATTTTGACAATTTAAATATATATTATTATCAGGACTATATTTATTAGAATATGATGAAGCTGACCCACCAGGAAAAACATTTAATTTTAAAGGAATATGTGAAGGTTCGTTATGATTATATTTATATGATATATTATCGGGTGTAGCTGTTGAATAATCTTCATCTGAAAACTTTTTCCATCTTTTGCTTACAGCTTTTAACTCATCTAAATGAGGGGTGTAAGTAAAGGGTTTATGATCAGGTGGGGCTGAAGCTGCTTTACTCAAAACTTGTTCAAGAATTCTTTGCGCTTTTTGGGTAGAATCTCTGTTAAGTTCGTCATTGTCGTTATAATGAGTATTCGAAGGCTAATTAAAAAAAAATCAAAAATAATATGAAAAAAAAGAATATAAAAATAACTCAAAAATATTTAATAAATAAAAAAAAATTAATAGGTATAATACAAATTTAAAACCACTTTGCAAGTTATAAAAAATAGATTTTCCGGCAATTATATACAATTTATAGCAATAAAATGCTTTTAACTCTCTAGAGAGAAGGATATTTAATTTAGCGTAAGCCTAAGTATACTAAAATCAATTATAGTAACATTCGGCCATGTATATCAAATCAAACCATATAATCGATATAATTGTGATTATAAAATATTTTTACTTGGTTATTAATTATTTAAATAAAATGAAAAGAAAATTAGCGAATCAAATCATTATTTGAAAAGTAAGAAAGAATGTTGTCAGAACATAAAGTACAACCAAAAAAAAAGATCGAAATAGGAACATATATTTTTATACAAAATAGTCTGTACAATATAATATATTTAAAAAACGCATACCATTTAAGAATAGAAAATATTTTATTTGTTTTGGGGAATAAAAATTGCCAACTTTGAATACTTTCAAGTTAGAGTTAATATATAATTTTATACGCCATATGATTCACTTTTTATTATTATTGTTGGAAACCTCTCATTAAAACTATCAAATTTCTTAATATTAAAAATAGTTAAGTCATCACTTTTATTTTTAAATATGACAATTTTTATTATAATATAAAATTCGAATTAGGAAATGATAAATGTTGATGTTTTACTCGGAATTTAGCCTTATTCGGTGCTCCGACTGTTCCAGGGAGTGGGGGAGGAATTAATACGTTAGATATAGTAGCTACACAAGCATCAGAATTGTGATTATCGACGTTTTGCATGGTTTTTATGATTTGAAATTAGCATTGACAAATGAAGAGTTTATTTAAAAAAATATTTATAAATTTGTGGTAATCTAATGAACTTATTTAGAATGCTTTTTTTATTTATCCGATTATCAATTTAATACATAATATAAAATGAGGAGGGAATTATTATTGATGAATGAAGTCAACATATTATTCATAAATAAGTTTGAGTTTAACCAAACCAACAAATTATCGTATTAAAATTAATCCATCAAACATAATTAAACAACTGCCATACGAAAAGTATTTATTTCCTATTTATTTCTGAAATCGTAAAAGTAAAGATCTCAGAAATGTTATTGATCTTAAAACTTTTCCAATAAATCTAAAAAGATTAGATTTAAAATATAAAAAACTTTTTTAAAAAATATTTTCCTATTTTAAAATCTTATAAAATTTTAAGACAAAACAAAACACATGTTTTTTATTTAAAGTTTTTTAAAATTTATTTGTCATATGATATTTGGCCTTAAACTTGAAAATAAATTTGAAAAGCTTTTAAAATATCTTTTAAAACGCAGCAGTAGTTAGCCTATTTAAAAAAGTATACAATTTATTTAAAAGCTCACCAGGGCAAAACGAAATAGGCTATCTTAGCTGAGCTAGATATCTAAGATATCGATGGAATAGACGTCTGGTTCCAATCCAAAAAATAAAATTTATTTACAAGCATGATATGTGAGGTTTAACAAAATGTAAGAAAAGTGATAAATGTTTTATGTATCGGGCAGTTTTACTAGTGAGCTCCAATAATAAATTAAAAATACTTTAAAATATCGCATTTTGATTGTTCCTCTTTATTAGGTATAAAAATAAAGCTCGCCTAAATCGAATAATGAAATTTAGAGTCAAGTCCAAAATTTTTACGATTGAATTCTTTCAAATGAGTTGATCCGTTTATGATCCATAGGCTGAGCACATGCTTGGGGTGTTAAATCTGTTAACAAATAATAATTATATTTATAAATTTTAATTATTGGAAAAATATACTATAAAATTACATTTACAGATATAATTATGAAATTATATATTAAAGCATTAAAAAATTCCTATATGTTGTCCAATATACAAATTGTAGCCGCATATGCATTATATCAAGGCCGTAGCTACGGGCAAAAAAATTTTTTAGGCCCCAAATCTCGCCTCCAGAACATTGACCCCAAAAATGATCCCCAAAAATTTTTCCGGTCCCCCAAATTTAAAAAAAATGGGCTGCTATAACATGGAAGCTCAAAAGCTCATTTAAATTTAATAATAATTTGGCATGATAAAAATTTTAATATAAATAAGGGTAGAGATAACAAAAATTTTGGTAAGCCAACAAATTAACCGTAATCGTTATTATCTTAAATCAATATTTAATTTGATGCTATTTCTAAACATACAGAAGCTATCTTTTCGTGGGACGGGTTCAACAAAAATTACGGATGCTGCAAAAGATGAAAACATAATTTATTCTTCTGGACTATTTATAGCAATGTTTTCATACAGTAAATAAAAAGATCCTGAATTAAATAAAATTATCAAATAAATACCCAAAATACATCACCCCAGATTCAAAACGAAGTAATATCTATTATAAAGTAGATATGATGCTTGAAATACCTCATATAAATATAACAAAAGTGAGTGCCTTTTTTGTCTTAAGGCTGGTGTGACAAAAAATTCAGATTGCGAAAACATAAGCATAATTATTTGCTATACTTTTTCTGGAGAAATCCAAGAAAATTTAATAGGAATTATTAATTTACAGTTTTCTACTCAAAGCATTTCTGATTGCATTTTAAAGCAACTTTAGTTAATTATTAATTCAATGAATATAATAAGGCAGGCATATGATGGTGCAAACGTCATGTCTGATCAAAATGAAGGAGTGCACCTAATTCAAAAAAAAAAATTAATAAAAAAAAGTTCCTTTTATGCATTGCTACAACCACAAGTTGCATCTTGAGGTTCAAAATTGGTATAATATTGTTATCATTTCAATTTTTTTAATGCATTGTTTAATTTTTTTTTAGACATTTTAATGTATCCTGTAAATATACAGGTCATACTCTTAAGATACTTTTAGACCAGAGTTGGACTGGTCATTTAGAAACATCTCGCAGCATTTATGAGAAATTTGAGGCTATTGTTGAAGTATTTTTTTACTTTTCTGATAAAAATCTTAACTTAGAGGTTTTCACTCACGATTCAGTTGAAGCCTCTCCTCCTATTATCTCAATGCGTTAATATAATTACGTTGTATTAGCTATTGTGAGATATTAATAACAATAGATCCACTAAATACGTATCTACAGTCAGTAGGTACTAATCTAGGAATATAAAAATAAAATAAGCGATAATTCTTTTTATTTAATAAGAATTAAGGCTGAAAAACTTTTAACAAATTTTAATCTCTTCTCCCAAAAATTATCATGGGTAGGTAAAACGCTTACAAATTTTCAAGATTGTTTAGTCAAAACCAAATTACGATTGCGAATTATACTCCAATTGAAGTTCTTTATAAATAATTATTATAAAATTATTGATTACTTTGTTGATCGTTTTTTAGATAGATTACACGAAATGATTATAATCTTCTATCATGTTTTAATACATTGTCCCACCTTGACCTTTATTATTTTATACCAGATAAAATGGCCCCATTAGAATCATTATCAAACTTAAATATAAAAACATTAAATCATGAAATGAAAATAGCAAAAGGGTTAATAACTGCAGAAAGAAACACATAATTTTGAAAATATCTTAAATATTATGTATAAAAATATATCATCTTGCATTTAAAGAATTGTAAAAATGCTATTCAGCAGCCATCATCAATGGTACAACGGATTCTTGTGAGGCTCATTCTTTACACTTAAGAGTTCTATCAAGCACTAGAGAATCGAAGAAAGATAAACGCAAACAAAATTTATTACTAATGGCTTATGAAAAAGAATAATGCGGAATTTATCTATTAATTCACATATGTTAAATAAAAATTAAAATCGTCGATTATAGTATAGTATTATTTTGTTTATTCATATTATACTATTATTTTGTATTCAAATTACATTTACAAATTTTTAAATAAAAATAGCAAAAAATTTATATGAATGCTTAATTATTTGTATTATTTTTAAAAAATAGTGCCCCCCCCCCCCAAGTAAGCAACTGCCCCCCCCCCAGCTGGAATTTCCTGGTTACGGTCCTGTATTATATAAAATGATAGATTTTTGTTTAAAAAAACCCCCTTTTAGAAAAAAGTCTACCCCTCTTTATAACCTCGTGGTCATTATAATCCCGATCCATATATCTATAAATGCAAAAAAATCATATTTTGGAAAAATGATGAGTTACGGAGTTTTCGAGGGAAAACTACGATATAATTTTTAAAATGCTAGAAGTCTGAGACTTATTTGAATATTTGAATGTGACAAGTGTCATAATTGAGTGTAAATATTTGTAAAATAATTGTTAAATTATTAAGTTACATTTTATATTTAGATTTATAAAATTTGATTTTTTGTGAAGTCATTATATTATGTATTGCAATTTTTGAGTTATTTTTATTTTATACAGTTTTATTTTTAATTATAATTATGATTCTCTTCAGCATGATTTTGGGGTTTATAATTTTAAAAAAAAATATATTTTTAACCTATTATTGTTTTGAATTATTTTTTTATGAGTAATAGCTTCCCTATAAAAGGGAAGCAAATTGAAATGTAAATTTTTTTTCCTTTTTGAATTAATTTTTTTTCTCTTTTATTATTATAAAAATTCTTATTGGAATTTAATAAAGATTATCATTTATTCTGGTGTAATTATATAGAGTAAATGGAAATAGGTTACCTACCAATATTCTAGAGCGAAGCGGGCAACTCAAGTGGGTACCGTTGACCAAAAATAAGGTAAAAAAACCAATTCTTTTGATAACATATTTTATTTTTATGGAAATATTGGGGAGCACGGTAGTTATTAGACGTGGTAGTGGAACAAGTGACCGTCATTATTGGAAGTAGTCGTGTAAATTATGAAGCAGTGTCATTATTAGAAGTATTAGTGAAAAGTGTGAACAGTGGCCATTATTATTGGAGGGAGGTGATAGTGAAAAAGTGTGGAACAGTATTATGTACTGTTGTATCTTTTCAGCGTTAATTTTATTATCATATAATATGGTTTAACTTTACACGTAGTTAAAATCTTCTTAGTAAAGTTAATTATCAATTTTTTTAAATAATATTTAAAAATGTTTTTAAAAAAATATTTAGTGCTATTAAATTATATATAAATTGGCAAAAATCATTGATATTTAAATATTTCATAAACTTCAATGAAGAGCTTTAAAATAAAAAAATATGTGGAGTTACAGTACAATATACTGGGGGGGGGATTGTATTAGTGATATGGATGTGCAGTTTATACTTTGATAGGAAAATATGGAGAGAGAGAAGTATTCGAATTCGTGGGCAGTCGTTATTGGTGGAAGAACATAATGGAGAAGTTGATAGATTGGCTAGAGTAACGTGGTTTTGGTGTAAGAGATAATGAGAGGATGAGTGAATGATGATGAAATTGGGAGGATAAAAAATGAAAATGATGATGAGAGAGGTATGACCGTTTACAGAGGACGTCGAGATGTGTGGCGACCGTTTAGTATTGAAGCGCAAAGGAGCCAAAATGTGGTTTGTTTTAAATGTGGTGTCAGAGGACATTGTGATGAATTGCAGAGATGTCAAATGTTTTGCATGTGGAGAAAAGGGTCATATTTCAACGTATTGTCCGGATAAAAGAAATAGATTACGATGCGCAAAATGTGAAAGGTTCGGGCATGCAGAAAATGATTGCAGAGTTGGAAGGGTAGAAACCAGAGGAGGCTTTTCACAGAGGGGAGAAAGTTCAAATGCTATCAATGTGAGGAGTGTGGGGAAGTAGCAGCAAAAGAAGAAATAGATGCCGAATACAATATCGTGTGTTTCAAATGCCAAAAAAGGACATTGGGCGAGAGATTCCGATAAGGAATGATTATATGGTTGTGAGAAAAAGAGAATTCAGGCCGAGGCGTTGAGAACGGAGAGGAAAGACATGGTAATGAAGATGTTGCGGGAGGAGGTTAAAGAGGAACAAGTATATCTTCAGAGTCCGTAGGTGTGGTTGAATATAAATGTGAAGATGGTGTCTATGTTGTTTGATATGGGT